GGCAGAGGTTATCTCAGTTTTGTACAAAAACACCTGTCTGTTTCTTCCCACTATGAATGTTCTGAGGGAGAAACTAGGTATCAGTATCCTTTTCTTTAAATAGATCCAGCTTCGAGGTTAGTTCTTAGAGTAGGTGGGAGTGTTCTGCTGGTGTTTAACTTAGCTGATGGCATTGAAATTACTTCCAGTCACACCAACAAATTTTTAGACAAAAGGATTGAATAGCTTGATGCACTCTACACTCTTGCTTGTTATCTAATATGTTCAAAATATTGTTGATATCTAATAAGTTTAAAGTATACTAAGTAAAAATGAATGATCTCTTTGACGAAGTCCAGTTTTCAGCAGATTCATGATCTTCTCTTTGCTATGCCACTTCTCTCAGTACTTTGCATCACACCATGAATAATAGCTTTTCCTGCATATTGTCTGATTCTATGAACTCTTGCTAATCAAGTTCATCTTTCTGTTCAGATACCAGAAACCTTCTCTGATTGTAACTCTCAAAATTTGGGTCCCTAATAATTGTTCACTGCCAATACCAACATCATCCTACAAATTCTTATAGCAATTAACTACTAGGTGAACCTTGTAATGTGAGTATTATTGCCAAGTTCATTGATCTGAAATAGGAAAAAAGTTCAGAGATTCTTCTTCCCCTTGGGAGAAATGGAAATTTGGGAGGTTTTGCAGGCAAGCCTAGATTTCCAGCATCATCCCATCCACCCCCAATAAGAAACATATACAAGAACACAACCTACAGCATGTTCCAGTGGACTAATATTTAGGGGCTCCAGAATGCTTGACAAAGGGTAAGGAAAAATATCAGGAAGAATGTAGCCAGCAGGACTAAGGAAGTGATCATCTCTCTGTACTCAGCACTGGTGAGGCCATACCTCAAATTCTGTGTTCAGATGGTTGGACTAGATGACCTTACAGTCTTTTCTAACCTTAATGATTCCATGAGATGAACTAGGCTCTAAAGAATATCAGTGATCAAAAACTTGGAATATTTTGTGAGAATAGGTTTGCTGGCTGGACTGTCTCCTGCTCTGCCCAAAGACGTAGGCTTTATAGAATTTTATGTAGTGCAATGTATACAGGCACTGTATATGCCATGCTCTCAGCAATTCGTCAGAGACATTTCATCAGATTCTTCATGATCTCTAAATACAGGAAAAGAAGGAAGGTGAATATATTTGGAGCCCCTCAAGAAGACTCTGTAGAAAAAGAAGACAAAATTTCAGGCAGATTCTTCTCTGGACTGTGAAAGGTGGCTTTTGCTGTGATCCAGCAAAGAAGGAGCAAAGAAGGTTGATCTGGCTTGGAAAATCTGGGAGCTGGTTAATCTTGGGTGGGATAAAAGACTCAAAAAGAAAACTTGCAAGACAGTAAAGATCACATTACTTAAAGCATAATGAAACAGAGCCCCTGCCTTCTGTATTGTGACATTCTGAGTAATTCATGAATCACAAATATTGAGAATAGCAGTCCAGATTAGCCCTGTTCCTTCCACCTTCTAGATCAAAGCCCAGACTCTGATTCTCAAAACCAACTCCTGGGAGCTCACCTTTGAACTTACAAACTCAGCTGGGGGTATCTACCATGTTTTCTCCAAGATAGGAGAATGGCCAGGCAGAAAGCCAGGAATGGTTGTATGGTATAAAGCCAATTTCTTTTTTTCCCTTGGACTTTTTGGGAATGCATATGATTTTGAATTTTCTTGATAGGTTTATAGTGTTGCACTATTTATTTTAAGTTTCCTTTTTATTGTTGTGTGTTCAAGTGTTTTCTCTCCTGCACTGCTACAGGCACCAATGTTTCAGTATTCACACTTCTTTGGAAAATAAACACAGCTTTTCCTTAAAGTGATTGATATACTAAGGGGGAAAGTTTCAAAACAAGAGTTCCAAGAAAAATCCTGTTTCTAAAACTTTGAAGTGAAGTATCCATACATAAAATGCAACAGCTCATACTACCATTTCATGAAACACTCTTTTACATTCTTATAAAATACTTTTATAAGAGAGAGTCCCATGCATTGTTACACAAAATGTAAGGACACCATCCTAACAATAGGTTTAAAAGAAAAAAAAAATGAAAAAAGCTGTAACAATCAGGGACTGTAATATTCATATTAAATATTACGCTATTTGTATTTCATTACACTCTGGTGTATTCATAGAATATGCCATCTCTTTCCCTAACAATATTCAGCCACCACAGCTTCTGGTTTAATACAGATAAGCATCATTTTCACTATGAACAGAGTAAGGAAGGATTAAAAAGGTCTTCTGGTTGTTATCCCTCTTATAATCCATATCAAAGATGTTTGATTACAGTATTTTTTCCCAGACTTTGATGATGTTTTTCCTTTCATGAATATTGTGCAGAACACAGCATGCAATGTCAACCTGAGACAGTTCTTGTGAGGTAGCCTGCAGTTTCTCACAGTTAAGCAGAGACCTTAAAATCACTTTAATACAGTCACACAAACTCTCTTGTTAGGCAGCAGCATGACACACAGCCAACAGCAGGCTTCTGCGATACTGCAAAGGGAATACGAACATTGTTCTTATCCATATTGGTCTTGAAAGCAAATCCCACAAGCATGGAAGTTAGTAAGAAGCATGTGAATCTGTTAAAGAGATGTCTGCGACTCTTACAAGGAAACTCTCTCTCTGCAGAATAGTATTTATATATACTTTTAACAGTGCTGTGACGCCTCATCATTGATTCAAAAAGCATTGTCTTCAGAGAAGTAGTCTCCCTCCAGGTACACACCCTTCACCAAGTAGTTTTGCTATTGATTAAGGGCAGATGTGGCACAGTGAGCTGCCGCCAGATAAAGATGGCCATTTTCTCCTGAGCTGCTGCTCTGCTCTTTGCTGCTCTTCATCTCTGAGACAGTCTCCAGCAAAATGCTACTTTCTCATCCAGCAAATCTGCCCTGCACGTTATTCCCATGGGACAGCACAGTCATTTCCCAATCAGGTTTTGGGATCCTGAAGTAGCAGTGCTTCCTGCATGAAGAAGAAATCTCTCTCAGGAAGCACTCACCACTGCTGCGCTCCCTGCTGTCCCTTGCTGTAGAATCTCTCTTGTTTTGTGTTTTTTGACTGATGAAATTTAAGCCACTTAGTGAGGAACCATCAGATATTATCTCAGAAATGTCTAGATACGTGTACAAGTTGTCATACACATAATTATATACATTAAGTACATACATATGTATATACAGCATACGTACATAACGTGTCTGTGTTTGGACCAGTGCTCTGATAAGAAACAGCTCAATGAAAGCGTGACAAGAGAAAAGTCCAGTGATTCCTTCTTTTCCTCTTTTTTGCTCGACTCCTGGGCTCCAGAATTACAGTCACCACTAATACCTTCCGAGCAGGGAAGGAAGATTAAGTTTCCAGCATAGCCAGAAGACATGAACTGCACATGAACAGGAGACTGACATCTTCCAGATGCTGTTACCTCACTGTGCGCGTCACGTACACAGTGATTCCAATATGCCCACAAGATATTACTTGTAATCTTCAATTGATCTGCACCTGTACAGCAAGTCCAATGCGTTTTAGATGCACAAACTTAATTAGTGATGTAAATGTTATCTGCATGAGTACAATAAATTCAGGTGGTAAGAACTTCCGGGTTTATTGCCTATAATACAGTAACATTTAACATTGAACTCGTTGCAAATGCAAGGTAAAGTTGTTTTACACAGACTTTAGACATCCTGAAACTGAGTGGATGTTTGCTACAGAAATCAGTAGGGCAGCCGACTACAGGTCTGGGAGGAGAGGTGACACAAACCCATCCCTCTGCCACCCAAGTCTGCTGGGGGGACTCTTCCTGGGACACTAGACCTGGAGGCAAGGTGGAAGGCAGAGCAATGTTAGAGGACAGATAAAGGATAGAGCCCTCTGGGTGGGGAACAGGCTGCTGTGCTGGCCACGGGGCTTGGTTAACCCCAATCCTGCAGGTCCTGTGTCCATGGCCAGTGCCAGGAAGTTACAACAAAAAGAACAGAATCACAGAAACATTAAGGTTGGAAAAGAAATTGGGATTATCTAGTCCAGCTGTCAAGGAGCTCACAGGAACATGTTCAGGAAGCCAACAGCTCTACATTTATAAAGACAGATGGTAAAAATTGACCAGAATGAGTGAGTATTAATGTTCAGTATAAAGTTCATGAAAAATTTAGTAATGTTTTCTTTCTCCTTTTTTTATTTTTTCCTTATAGAGGAACTCTGCTTGCTTTTAACTGGCATAGCATGCTGGTAAGTTCATTGAATGATTTGCTATGCCAAAACTTCTCTTCCTTCATCCTTCCTAACCCTGCCAGCCCAGATCCCAGGAGAACTGTGAAAATTTTGGACCTAGTTTGTGACCTTGTGTTTTGCCATGGTTCCTCTGCTATCATTTCAATGCTTTTATCCTCAGCTCTAGCGCAGTACCATACCCTGCAGTGAAACAAGCCAATTCCAGACCACTAGCACATGGTGTATACTATCATCTTCCTACAGCAGTGAACAGGAATGAAGTGTGGGCCAGCACTGTGCTGGCAGCACATGGCATTGCCTTGTTGGAACAGGCTGCCCAGAGAGGCTGTGGATGTCCCTGGAAGCGTTCAAGGCCAGGTCGGATGGGGTCCTGGGCAGCCTGGTCTAGCATTAAATGTGGAGGTTGGTGGCCCTGCATGTGGCAGGGAGTGTTGGAGATTCATGATCCTTGAGGTCCCTTCCAATTCAGGCCATTCTGTGATTCTGAAAATGAGGCAGGGATGCATTGCCTCCATCTACCTATGTTCCATCCCTAGTGCGCCTCAGAGAAAATCCTCATACTTTGACCGCCTCGGGGTCTGGGACACAGCACGCTGCTCCGATTGCCGCTGGGGCTGCGCACCCCGGGCTGCCCGCAGAGCAGGAGCCTGGGGCTCCGTCTCGGTGGAGCGCGGCCCCGGAGCTTCCCCGGCAGGTCCCGCACGGGGGGGTACCGCGGCTCCGGAGTAGGAGGACGGGGAGCGGGGGGAGGAGCGCTCGGCGCGGTCACGGCCACCGCGGGCGGCGTGTGCGGGGGCGGGTGTGGAAGAGAGGTGGGCAAATAGCGATGACCTTTGCGAAGAGCCCGTGAGGGAGCGGGTCAGAGGCAGAGTGAGCGGCGGACGATGGTGGCTGAGAAGCGGAGGAGAGCCGCCCCGTAATGTCACCATGTAAGTTTCTTCTCCGGACTCTCGGGCGGGGACCGCCGGTCGGGCAGCGCGGATCACCCCTCGGTCGGGCCAGGTAGGCAGGGCTCCCCGCGCCCCCGCCCCGTGGTGGGTGATGAGTAACGTCAGGTCGGAGCCGTGCAGATAGGTAGGGCTGAAGGAATGGGGAAACGGGAGAGTTTCGCGTCGGGAGCGTGGAAGACAGGACAGCCGCGGCTCTGCCGCGTCCAGGCACCGGTTTAGCTGCCGGCGTGCCTCGCAGGCTCCTGGGCAGCCGCTGCCTCTACTCCAGCCCTGTAATCGCGAGCTCGGGACTTCTCCGGTCGCTTTTCCCCGCTTGGAGGCAAGTAGCGAAACCTCCAGCTCCGCCGCCGCCGCCCAGATCCAGTCCCAGCCGAGGAGCCCTACATCCCGGCACCGCTGCCGTCCCTCCAGGTGCGGTGCCAGCACAGGGAGGGAAAGAGGGAAGGAGAGGCAAGGAGGGAAAGAGTGGGCCGGGCGTGCTCCATCCCGGTACCGCCGTTCCTCTCGGAGCGCACGGCGAGAGAGGAGGCGGAGAGGGGCTCCCGCTCACTCTCCCTACCGTTCGTCTCCGGGCGGAATTTGTTGCGGCCTCTGGGCGCTTTCCCCCAAAAGTTTTGCCTTTCCCGACACGATCTGCCGAAGGTAAGGCAAGGCGCTGTCGGCTCTGGGGTTGGGTTTCGCCGGTGCCAGGTGAGAAGGGAGAGGAGGGAGGACCTGTAGGAGGTCAGTACAGGGGGACGGGGGAGAGTTTCCCAATAGTTATTATCGGGAAAGTTCAGGTACAAAGGAGTGGATCCCGAAGAGCGAGCGCTGTGGTGCCACCGAGTGACACATATACCCAGCAGAAGGGCTGCCTGCGACTCGTGAAAGTTCCTTTTGGAAGGGAAGCCAAGGCGCTGAGGCAGCTCTGGTGCAGCTGGCATTGTTAAATCACGGGGCAGTGTCATTACTTTCATGTCATTCGGCGAGGGTGTTTTCAAAGTTGGCTGTAAGAATAATTAAGAACATGTCAGAGTTAACAGGTTGAAAGTTTCGCATGACGTTGTGTAATTAAGCTTACAGAAATCCTTTACAGCCTGGGTTTCAAAACTAATACCCACTCCTTTGTTAATTCACTAGGACTGAAATGTGAATTGTAATCACCATTCACTTGAAGCTCCACGTAAGAGTGATTAAGCTTAAGATCTTTTTGTTTACAACCTATATGAGAAAAAAATTGTGAAATTGATCTTATCTTCCTTTTCATTTTAAATTGTCAGCAACGTTTCTTTTCTTGCCAGCTTTAGACATGCCAGAGACCAAAGAAAGTCACTCTGCCTGGGGCAGAATTCACATCCCACTCTGGGGAACTTTGCCGAAGCCTTGAACAAGGAAGATGGTGTATTCAAATAGCAGTTCCATGATTTGAGGCCATGCAGTATACAAATGAAACGCTCCAAGATTATTCACATTTTCTGTGTATTTTCTTGCAGAGCACTGTACTCCCTAAAAGGTGATGAGGCTGCTCTAGCTGACTGCTGGCACATAAAAGGTTTATTAGTTACATGTAGCAAGACTCCCACTAATTTAATCTTTAACTGTGTCGTTACCATCCATTTATGGCTTAGATAAATTACACGTCTATTTTGCTCTTCTGGAATGAATTGTGAATAAGCCCATTGTCTCCCTATGTTATAGGAAATGAAAGTAGCTGTAGAGTGGACTGTTGAATTGCATAGCTGGCCTTGTCATAGTGTCTACAGTGCCATAATGCCAGTTCATAGAAAAGCTGGTAGTTCTGTAAGACTCCACGGAAGGACACTGTCTAATTATTCTACTTTTTTTATGGGTGCAAATAAAATGTGTAAAAGGGATCGCTGTTGTGAGACTACATCAAACTGTAATGGAGATACTACAACTGGTGTCCTAACAGACCCCAAATACACTTGGCAGTATGTCGGTTTTGGTTCTCAATCTGACAATATACTGTGACATGTTCATAGCTGCCAGCTTGTTATCAGTGGGGAAAAGAACAGTGCTTTTTCATTTGATTTGAAACAAAGTAAGGAAGAAAAAACACTATAGATTATGCTAAGCAACTTTAATTTATCTAGGGTTAAAGACTGAGATGGCCAGTTTCAGACTCATCATCTTTTTATGGATTGCTTGCTTAATGTTTTGGTGTGTTTTAGTACATTGTTGCTCTGACATTCCATTTCTCTTGTCTTTCTATCATATTAAATTATGAGAGTACTGCCCAGAGTGGTTGTGGAGTCTCCTTCTCTGGAGATATTCAAAGTCTACCTGGACACTTTCCTGTGTAACCTACTGTAGGGAGCCTGCTTTAGGAGTAAGTTGGACCTGATGGACCTGATGATCTCCAGAGGTCCCTTCCAACTCCTGTGATTCTGTAGTTTTTATTTTAAAAAATAATAATAACATGAGGCCTCTTGGTCTCAATTCTCTTGGACAGTCAGTGCTATTGCAACAGTCAACCATGCCACAAATCATCCTTTGACAAGCTGTAAACTAGCCCAGAACTGTTTGTTGATTTCTCTATTGAATTATTCCTACACTGTTTGGGTTCTTGTTTAGTCATTAATAAATGTCAGTAATCAAGAAAATGAACCTATATTAAATACAAGCACAGTGTGTATGAACTGGTGAATAATATCTGCAACGTTTCTTTTTTTTCTTTTTTTTTTTTTTTCCCAAATTTCTCTCAAGGATTTACCTGTTGCTCTAACTCCTTTTCGTGGTTGTCTGCCAAATCGAACTGTTAGAGGTGGATTTTGGTGTTTTGTTGTCAGTATTAGCTGACTTCCATTTAAGAAAACATTTTGTGTGAACAGGGGTATTCTGCACATCGCTGAACGCAATCAGGCTTCTGATTTCTTCTCTTTTAGTCTATACAAGATCTCAAACGTGCCAAGAAGTGAATTTTTTTCCTCAAGGATAACACTGCTACAGGTTGTGCATTGTTCAATGGATAACCATAGGTCTTCCTCAAAATCTTCTCCAAAAGAAACAGATCTGACTGATGGTGCCTGGATTAGTCAAGTGTTTTGGTAGCGTGCTTCTGCTGTGGTCATTCTTCTTTGATAAGACCTTCATCCTTTCTTTTATCTGAAAGGATGTACTGTAAAGAAAATTGTTTGTTTGTTTGTTTGTTTGTTTGTTTTCCTTCAACAATGGATAATAGAAGTGGAGGATTCAGGCTTGACATTTTTTACATATTTGTTTGTTTATTGTGGTGGAGAATTGTCCATTTTTTTAATAGCAGTTGTATAATTATCTAGCCTTTTTCTCTGAGGAAAAATCTTGGTAGTCATTTCTTTCCTGCCTTGTTTGCAATTTTGTGCACTGCTCTATTGCTGACTATCCATGTTCTTGAAATCTTTCTTGACTTGTGCTTTCTACAAGAGTGAGGGTGAGGAAGTAGACTGTAAACTAACACTGTTGAGCACTGGCTTGTAAGTGTTACCACAATGCAAGCGATCATTAACAAATAGAATTGGCCAAATTAAATAATAGCCATGTCAGACTAACGCAGAATTTCAGATTCTTTAAGAAGGACACTGAAGGCAGTGTGGCTAAATAGATATATTCCCGACCTAGGCAGTAGAAAAAACCTATCAGGTCATTTTTCTATGTGAGCTTACAGAGGCATCAAAAATGATTGCAGCGACACAAAGAAAATGCATCAATAAGATGAAAATGAACACACATTAGCTCTGAATTTTAAAATTTTTGAAAATTTTTATGATTGTTTCCTAGCCCAGTAACTTTTAATATGTCTGCTCAAAAAGAAAAATCTGGCAATGTAATCACTTCCTCAAGTTTTCATCAATAGATTATTATGCACCACACTAGTGCTTATCTTATCAGTAGATGTAAATGCCTGTGGAAACAGTGATATTATTCTATATTTCTTTTATATCATGCTATGACCTTCAGCCTCTCTATTTTATCTCTCTGTGAGCTATACGTATGCAAGCTGTATCTGTTCATATGTGCATATAACTGTCTACATGTTTTAAAAGGACTTCTGTTCAAAGTAAGTTTTCTAAATTAATATTAAGAGCATTGTGAATTTATGAATTATTTACACTGAACAGTTTCCAAACCTCAGCATTCTGTTGCCTGAGATTTCAATGGGGATTTGAGGTTGTTAAGTCGAGGACAATCATTCTATTGTTTGATAATCTGGTTATTTTGTGTGTCTGGCTTCATCAAAGAGATTCTTATATTTCAGAGCCCAGTGTGTTCAGTGCTTGTCTTTGACACTTGTTAAGTTTGACTTTACAATATCTCAGAGGAATAAATCAGCTTCAAATCCCTAACTTGATACAACTTTCCAAAAAGAGCTGAACTTCTTTTGTAATTGGATGCTTTTGCCACGTAATGCTGCACTGAAGTGAAACCCAACTGACTGTAGGTCTCTGTTGAAGTCTCATTTACCTGGGCCCATTGGCATCTAGCCCATAGAAGTGGTTTAATGAACTTTTAAAACTGAAACATTAGTTGTTCCTTTACAGTGGTTTATCTCTCTGCTTTAAGTTTGGCTTGTCTACATTACAGAGCTTCACTTTGGAATGAAACAGAAGCCAGTACTGGGAGAAGGTTTACATTTGCCCTCAGGTTTTGCTAGCAGGCTCACAGCAATGTCTGTGAAGCAGAAAGCTCTTTTCCCAAGTTCAGGAAAATGACATTTTCTGGTCACTGAATATGAACTCCTCTATACTTTCACATTTCTGTCTTGATATTTGATACCAGTGGCCCTTCCAAAAATACGTTCCTCCTTTCTGTTTTTAATATGCAATGTCCTGGAGGATATTTGTGTTCATCAGTGTGTCTTTGTGGTTCTTTATGTGCTGTTGCTGGCAATAGACTTGTGAAAATCTCTGCTAGAGATTTTCTTCCAGTATTACTAGATAATATCTCAGGGAACTGAAGCCAATTAGTGACAGTCATCCTCAAAGAGGATGGTAAGGATTTGGTCAAAGTAATATGGACATTTGGTGATTTGTTCCTCTCTTTTGCTCACTGCTAACTTGTTGAATAAAATGAGACAGGAGTGTAATAGAGAACCATTTATTTTGTGTATGCAGTTAAAGCTCTGATCATAATCATTGTGGATCTTCTTTCTTGCTTCTCCTTCAGCCTATTATGGAAGAATTATTTTGATTTAGCCATTAAATGTCATGTGCACTTCAAGGCAAAGGAAACTGTAATCTCAAGTTATAAATAATAATGTTTTTTATTTAATTGCAAGTTTTTATTAAATAATAAACTTGACCCTGACTTCACTGGTAGCAGAGCTGGACAGCACCCCTAGATTTTGGCAAAAGTTTCAGTTGTTGGCAGAAGACATTGTAGCTATCAAAATGCTGGCATTAGCAGATATGGAAGGGTTGATCAAGAGCGTAGGCAAATTCTCACACCTCATCTTTATATAGTTAATAATAAATACGTGTGTGTGTGTCTATACGTATATTTAAACAGCATAAATATTTGTATACGTAAATTATGTAAATAGTAAAATAAAACTGCAATCTCCAGAAAACCAAAACCCATCTTAACACTTTCTAGTCATAAGGCTTGTTTGGTTCTTTTTGTGAAATATCATTTTATCTGTCAGATCAGAAGCCCAGTGATGACCAGCCTTCCCCCTTGTCATAAACTACGAACCAGGCAACAACATTTATGAACCAGGCAACAACATTTCTGACTCTTTGTAGGAAGCGTATTTCTGTGTTTTCAAGCTATCCTAGGGCCAAACAAAATTTTCAAGTTTTCAGCTTTACTTAATGCTAGTTACTAGATTGACTAGGAACAGCATTTTCTTATTTTCTTGTTTTATTGAAAAGCTTCTTGAATTGTTACTTGCTTTTTTTTTTTTTTTTTTTTTTTTTCAATCCTACAGGATGTCTCACATAAATGAAATGTGGTGCTGTCACTGGAAATGGAAGCTGCAGCACTGTCTCTACTTGTTTATCCTGTATATTATATGCATGCAGCAAGCAGGTAAGTTAGCAAATTATTTTCTTGCTTAAATAAATGGTTCAGGCGCCAAAGTTTGATGACTAAGGATTATGCTTATGCATAACTGAATTATCTACAACATAACATTTTGATGAAAATGGTGTTTTATAATTACTAGTTGTGCTTTGATAGGGTTTATTGCTACTGTTTAATTTTGTTGTTATGTTTGAGTCATTTTGCTTTTATTATTTGTTGTTATTTTTTCTTTGAATTCTTCCATTTTTATTCTTTTTTTTCTTATTCTTTTTTTCTTTTACCTTGTTGACACCTCCCTCTCTCTTGAATTTGTTGTGACTGTAAAACAACTGCAGTACACTTACTATCTTTAAATCCTTTTATCAATCAAGTTATAGAAACTTCTCAGCAAGCTATATGTACTGAGCAGTCAGTTTAAATGTAACATCATTTTAGGCACAGAGTAATGTAACACATTGTGACTGTTTCTTTAAACATATGAACAAGAGATTTCATTTACTAAATGTATTTTCCTAACCACTAGAGTGCAAAATATTTTAGGAGCTCCAGCTGCTTTACTGGAAAAAAAGACTGGAGTTTATTCTGGAGCAGACGAAAGTTTTGGAGCAGCTTGTACTGCTCAGCTAATTCCATATCTGATGGGTAGTTTTGCTGTTACAAACTAGCTATTGGAAAAAGGATGTTATATATAGAAAGAATTTCTAGCTTCTTTGACACTGTTTTTTCTCTAAATAATATGCACAGGGCTTTTTGATGTTTGAATGTAGTGGCTGTGCAGTAGCAGTTTCCAGCTTTTCGTCACTTTAATATGTGTTTTCCATCTCTATTAAACTGCGTAGCCAGGAATGTACATTTAGGATCTGACTGTCATCAGCTGGCTGATGGCCTCTGTGTCCCTGCAATCCTGCAGCTGCCTTCCTCATCATAAAATAAGTCAGCAAAAACTGCTGTAATCTACAGCTGCTGAGGGCTACTGCCTGGTGACTGGCACATTAAGGCCCAAAGACCTTTAGTCTTTGCTAATTCTTCTTGATAAGAATATGGTTATAAAAAGTGCAGACAGTATAGCAAGAATAAATTCTGTGAGCAAGAAAGCCCCAGTCAGTATGCTGGGAACATTAGACATCCCCAGGTTCAATAGACAAATGTGTTTGCTGTTCAACAGTGAAAGAGATCATAGATAGTTTGCTGTTAATACTCGACTGAAATGAAAAGGAGACATTCACCTCTCCAGCAAGCTGCCATTTGGCAGTACTTGCTTGCAGACCCTTTGGTTTCATGTTTCTTCTTTTTTGTCTTTTTGTTAACGTGAAAGCATAGGTTATAAACCACAGCTGCAAAATGTGTCCTTTTCATCTGTTCTTTTTATTAGAGCAAGGCAAATAAGGCAGGAAAGAATTCTATTTTGTGTTCTTAAAATGTATCTTTTTGGCTGTGTGTTCATATGGTGTCTATAATCTCCCTGGTACCTTAAGCTTTACTGAATTTACAGAAAAAATATTGTAAAACCTGATATTCACCCAGCTTAGCTAGTGAGTTGTAAGCTTAGAAAGCAATTGGGGCTTGTTAAGCTTTGCCTAAAGGAGGTTACATACAAGTGGAGGATTAAGATGATCAGATACAGGTTTTATGGATTATTTATGAGGCTATTCATAAGGAAAAGAATATCAGTCATGCCGTGACATGGAAAAAATGCAAAAGCAATAATTTTATGGTTTAACTTTTGAAGATCTGCAGGACTTGGCTCGCTTTCAGAAACAAAGCTTAAGAGAAGGATCACACAGGAGAAAACTTAGAGTAGGAGTGGAAAGACTATTCAGCTGCAAACTGATCAGTGGGGTAAGGCAATGAAGTATAATCCCAAACTACAGATCTGATACCTTTGAGGAACTGATGGATAGATTCTGACACTTTACACAGAAAGAAATAATAATAAATATAAAAAACAATAAAAATAAAATGTCAGCCACCTGAAGTATTGTGGCGTATTGGCTGCAGGCTGCGTGTTGTTACGTGGGGTGAAGATAAAGATGAGATTAGTAAGCAGCTTCACAGGTTTCTGTTCCTGTCTGTGGTAGCAGTGCCTGGCTGCTGTGACTGAATCACTTAGCTCTTCCTGTTTCTCTGTCTGTAAGATTAAGTATATGTCTTGCCTCCCTTGTCAAAACTTTGTCTATCTTCCAGGGAAAGCACTGAAAAGAAGCTGAGGTATTACAATGGTGATGTTTTAAAGAGAAGTAATTAAAACCTTTTTTTCTGAGGTTCAGACATTCCTCATCTATTTATTTGTATGTATATTTTGATGATTTCACAGAGCTCAAAAGGAAGCAAAAAGAGTGAACGCAGTTCTGTAAAATGGAACAGGCACAGACAGAAGGAACTAAGAATTTTTGGTCTAAAGTAAGCAGAAGTTGTAACATCTAAGTTCAAATATTTGAAGAGATAGCTGCAATGGGAAGGAAGAGTGATCTTTTTAGACAGCTGAAAGGGCAAAAAATACAGGTTTAAATTACAGCAAGATAAATGAGGGGAGGAAATCTTATCAAAGAGCAGAGACAGCAGTGGAATAGATTGCCAAGGGAGAATGTGGAATTTCAGTCCTTGAAAGCGCATGCTAATGCCTGCCAGACATGATTAAAATCTCAGTGCTCTTCCTTTGGGGACTGAGAAATAAGTTAGATGATTTCCAAACTTCCCCAATTTCTGTATTCCTTCCTTTTGTCTTTACCCCGGAGAGTTCTATTTTGTTTCAAATTTGGGGAAATGAGAAGATTCAGTGGAAATTCCACATCTCAGATTATGACAGGGATTTTGCTGTGCCTAAAAAATAGTATTAGTGTTTGCGTTTTTACCTCAACATCATTTTTTATCTGAAACAAGGAAGCAGCAGCAATTCAATACAAAAAGTAATAGTTGGTCTGATATATGTAACTTCACAAGTTGAATACGCCTGCAATGGTATAAATGTATCTACAGTTCTTATTACAGAGTTTCTGCATTACGGCCCATGCTGCTGTTATCACAGCATTGTTATGACTGTAGCTTGTGTCAGTGAGCACTCGTCCTGTTGTTCATCCATCAGTAAAGTGTGTTGGTGTCAGTAGTCCTCAAGGTGTTTTTAATCAATCCTCAGGGCCTCACAAAAGAGTAAGTTTTAATCCCACCAAAGGTCCTAAAATTTTCATGTCATTTTTTTAGTGGTGGCTTGAAGGGGGGACGGGGAAATTAGTTCTTTTTTAATTCATCAAGAAAAGATGGATGAGATGAAAGTAAATCTGAAAGCAGGCTCTTCTCCCATATGACTGATATCTGTCCCCCAGTCAACCCTATTTGTTGTGCTCCTTAATTGGGCCTGCAGAAAGTTGAGACCGCTCACAGTTCTGGGATGGTTTCTTAGAGATTCCGTGGGTTCAGGAACCAACTGAAAGGTGAGGGAGGGAGGTTGATTGGATGTATCGCTTATGCCACCAGTGCTAGCAGCCATCTGTGGGAATGGGTTTTATCTGGAACTGCATTGGGCAGGAAGCGTGTTTTCTCACCATGGCACTGAGCCTGCCTTCTCCAGACAAGGACCAAAGATCCTATTGCTGAGCAAGTGATGAAATAATTGCCAGCACATTCACTTATCTCTCTCTCTCTCACCAAGACCTTAGCCCAGTCATCCAGTGTGACTCTGGCATATGGTATGGAGGCAGGGAATACCTTTCCAGCATTGTCACAGACACATTTTTCTCTTGTGATACATCAAGGGTGGGAATTAGTGCATTTATATTCCTGCCAATGGCAAATGAGACCGAGAGCATTGTCACAAACAAAGGAGTGGAAATTTGCCTTTGTTAATATTATGAAAAACTCAGGAAACCTGAAAAAAAAATCTGAATTATTCAGTTTGTCAATTTCTTTCCTTGCCTAGGCATCTATACGTCACATGCAATTATCAGGGGAAATTGGATATTTAGTGAATTGCTGCAAAGTGTTTTTGTTCTGTCCCCATTCCCTGTCAGTTTTCTTTTGAATTTAAATCTAGTTTAAGGAAAACAAATCAAAAGTAATTATTTATGTCTTGTTTAATATTTACATTCCTGTTGGCTTGAGGGATGTGTTATTCTGTTCATATAAGTCTTGCAGAGAAAAAATGGCTAGTTGCCTTTCTTGTATTTTCCTTAGTTGACAGCTTATTTAATGCAGAAGTAAATTACTGTTGGAATGAATTTCACAGGAAGCTGCCTCTCATTACCTCTGTTTACTTTTTTAGCTCTGATTTTTTTTTTTTTGATGTTGATAATTCTTTTTCCCTGAAGTGTTTAGTCCTCTTTGCATTAACCATAGTGGTATCCCTTTAAAAGCACAGTGATTTTCCTCACCTGCTACACAACTGTAAGCCAAAACCAAATGGAATATGGTCAAACAGCATAGAAATTCAAAGTTGACTAGGCCCTCGCTGCCTGGATTCTCTGCACTTCTTTGTTAGGTACATTCTTTAGTAGAAACCTTTTCTCTGAAGAATAGAACTTTAAAGAAAGAATATATCTTTCATTGAAGGTCACATTTGTATGACCTTTAGATTTTAGAATCTATTCATGATGCATTTTGCCTCATTTTCTTCTTTTCACTGTTAAATGTTAAAAACATAGGCAAATTTTTCAACATTATATGTGACAATGGTTGCGAAAGAATCTAGTTTAATGGTATATATCCAACAACAGACTCCAAAGTGACTCATGGTGAACTGGACAGTACTTCACAAAGGGCTGCATCTCTTAGAGGTTATTATGTAAAGAAATTCATTCCTTATAACATTTGTCTGCTGTTCTCAATAAAATTAATGAACATTTTTGAACAAAATTAGAAGTTTCATTAAAAGACTGAAGTTGTGGAGAATATAATTTTTCTCTTTTTGCTTGGTAATATGAGAAATATTGCACGATGAAGTGGAGGTTTTGTTAAGAATAGAATGCTTTTTCCGATAAAATAGATATCCCGATATATATATTCCTGATAATATA